ATCTCCTCCGCTTATCTCTTCCTCGCTCCTCTGGAGATGAGAGCACATTCTTTACTCCCCTCCCACCATTCCAGTCCATCACAAAGACTGACTGGAAGGCACACACAAAAATGGAGATGAAGAAGCAAATAGATCCGATCTTCAAAAAAAATTGATTGAATGGAGGGAGGGAGAAGTATCAGAAACGAAAGGATGCTAGGATCATGGTGTACATAAGGAAACAGCCTAAGGTTAAACCATCTTTCTCTGTCTCTGCAGATAACCGAAGGGAAAATCTGGTCAAGGTGGAGAGTTTTCAGGGTGGAGAAGGAGATCCAGAGGAGAGAGGCAGGACAGACTCTTTGAGAAGCCCTGGAAATCTGCCATTAAAACCTGAAATGCTGGAAGATGGTTGTGAGTTGAAAAAGCAGCAGTGAAAGCCACCACGGGACGGTGAGAATACATCCAACGTGCTTGAAAAGGTTCTTGCTGCTGCTGTTACAGAAAAGACCGCTGTGTCCAACAAGGATAAAACACCCTTGTTCTCCAAATACGGTAGAAGGTACCGTTATAGAGTAGAAGCTGATAAGATGCATTCCACTGAGGATTACGAAGAATGTAGAAGCTGCCAGTCTCCTTTCAGTCTTAATAAACAGGAGGAAAAAATAACTGAGAAAAAGGAGGAACTACCTGATAGTAAAATGGGAGATAATCTTAACAGAGATCAGAGGAGTAATCGGGAAGATGATAATTCTCCTGAGTCTGTGAAAACCTTTAGTAACACAAACTCTCTAAAGAGATTTCAGATAGGTAAAACTGAAGAAAGATGGCATGAATGTTCTCAGTGTGGGAAATGCTTCAATAAGGCAAAATACTGGAAGCAACATCAGAAAATTCACACCGGGGAGAAACCGTACAAATGTTCTCAATGTGGAAAGTGTTTCAATCAGTCAGGAAATCTGAAGACTCACCAAAGAATTCATACTGGGGAGAGACCCTACAAATGTTCTCACTGTGGGAAATGCTTCAGGGAGACAGGAATTCTCAAGAGACATGAAAGAACTCATACTGGGGACAAACCGTATAAATGTTCTCAGTGTGGGAAATGCTTCAGTCACACAAATGTTCTGAAGATCCATCAGAGAATTCATACTGGGGAGACCCCGTACAAATGTTCTCAGTGTGGAAAAGGTTTCAGTCAGATGGGAAATCTGAAGAAACATCAGAGAATTCATACTGGAGAGAAAATGTATAAATGTTCGCAGTGTGGGAAATGCTTCAGTCTGGCAGGAATTCTGAAGCGACATCAGAGAATTCATACCGAAGAGAGACCATACAAATGTTCTCAGTGTGGGAAAGGATTTAATAGGACAGGGATTTTGAAGAAACATCAACGACTTCACACTGGAGAGAAACCTTACAAATGTTCTCATTGTGAGAAAGACTTCAACCAGATGGGAAATTTGAAGAAACATCAGAGAAGTCATACTGGAGAGAGATTGCACCAATGTTCTTAATGTGGAAAAGTCTTCCTGTAGTTTGACAGAAATTCTGAGACATCAAGGCATTCATGTTTTGGGGAGACCTTACAGAATTTTTTTATACAGGGAAAATGTGGTCATGGTGATGTTTTGAAGAACCATCAGTGAACCTGTAGGCATTGAGACATTCTACAGATATCTTCACTGTAGTAAATACTGTAGGGAGGAGGTAGGTTTGGAGTGACATTATAGATATCATTGAAACCTGGTGGGATGAACCCTTATAGAGTAATCAAAGGTTTCACATTGTTGAAAAGGAACAGAAGCAAAGATAAGGGAGAAGGAATTGCTCTGTGTTAGAAGTAATTGAAGGAACTAATAAAATCTTTACGAGGTTTGGTGCCTACTATCACATCCCCGACTAAGGACAGGATGATATTCCCTGCAAAAACAGAACGTAGCTGTTTCAAAGAGACCTGAAATAGAATCTCAAGAGTTGAAAAATGATACATGGTTTTATTTATTTATTTATAATTAATATTTAGTCCCCCACTTAAAAAAACAAGTTCTGTTATACACTTAATAAGGGCTGCAATGATGTGTTGTTATTTCTTTCTTAATTTATATTTATAATAAATGTAGAGTCCATATAGGAGGAAGAAGTGGAACCCGGGGACTCTGAAAGGTGATACACACTTGTAAGGGCTAGAGTAATATTTTATCTTTACCATTTCTCTGACTTGCCATATACCCAGTTATGTTACTAGTCAGATATCTAAACCTGAAGGAAAGTGACTAGTAACTGAGTCTTCTGTCTGTTGAATGATCTTAGTTTTATAGATAAATATTTTATTGTTATGATCAAAAGAGCAGCATCTTTATTCCTGAAAACGCACAGGGTTTAGCTGAGCTAAAGGTAGGGAGGGATACACAGATGTAGGTAGCTGATACAATATAGGTAACTCCAAGAAAACCTGAGGCCTAACTACCTTGAAATTAAAATCTTCCTTGACCATCCCTCAATTCTTGCTGACTTCATGGACATGCCCATGTCATTTTTGTAGCAACAAAGAAAAGTAAATCAACACTGCCTTCTGGGATGGCTTCTGACTTCACAGTCTTGCTTACCGCTTTGGGATCTCCTGGTGGTGTCCTGTCCAGGTCCTAACCGGATCTGTTCCATTTATCACTGGGGTCAAGCAAAGTTGGTCAGATGCTGACCCCTGGTGAAAGTACAGGGCAGAAAATGGCCAAGGACGTCTTCTAACCCCACCTTGGCTAACCCAATAATTGATTGAGATAGGCAGAGTGATCAGTAGAGGTAACTAAACAATTCTAGATCCTTCTTTAATGAAAAGAAGGGTTGCAGTTCTTAAATATTGTTCTATTGCCACGTGTCCCCAGCAGCCAAAGATTATCTTTGTCCCTGGAACTCTGGGACAGAGGTCTAAACATTTGGAAATGGGAGTGGGATCTAGACAAACCCTCCTGGCCTCAAGGAGATGCTCCAAAAATGACCTGACTTGATGGATGTTCTCTAGATGATCAAGAAGGGGAGGTCACCTACATTGACCTCCACTATCATGGGCTGTGCGAATGACCTTGGGAGACAGGAGGAAGAGCCGCAGCCCGGACAACAGTCAGATAAGGGGCAGCTTAGCCCACAGAACGAATAGGGGCGTGGTAAGCATCTCAGAAGGGACCCTCCCTGATTCCCTGGAAAGTAAAGCCAAGGGGGGAGAGGTGGGCTTTCAGATTTGGAAGATTCTGTTACTGTAACCTTACAAGCTTATAACCATAGCGCTCATGGTGCTGGTTCCCTACCTGAAAGGTCTGACATCCACCTTCCAGGTCCTACCCTTTCTACAGAATAAAATAACTATGGTTTATCATCCTTCATGGATGGTCTCAGCCCTTTCCTTGGTCCTGATCTCTGACAAGAGGACAACTGTCAGCCTATCCTTACACCAAAACATTCCTAAGGGGGGGAGATACTGGTATACTCTCCTTATACGCCCGGTCCCCAAAATGTCTCTCATGGAGGGCATCCCTCCTGGTGGTCATGGCATCAGTGAAACCAGTTTGGAAAATAGAAGCGGTTCATTGTAGAGCTAGACGCTGAAGCCCTACAAATGGATCTCCTCCTCGTCAGCCCAGAACGAATCCTGCCATCATTTTGCCCAGACAAAACAGATGCTTGAGCAAGAATGGTACACGTGAGATGCGTTTCAGTCCATCTAAAGAGGACCAGCGCGAGAGGGTGGTGCAGGAGCAGCACCCAGGTTCCAGTCTCCCCTCAGCCACAACACCTGGAGGACTCTGGGCCGGTCCCTCCTTCTCCACCCAAATGCCCAGCTCTTCAATATAAGCCTGCACAGGGTTTACTGGAACTCTGTTTTAGAGCAGTGTTTCTCAACCTCAGCAACTTTAAGCTGGGTGGACTTCAACTCCCAGAAT